TTGGATTCGAACGGCAAAAGGGCCTACAACACACACCAGCCGACAAATATTAACATTTATTATATTTTATGGTTAATTTTTTTTTCTTTTCAAGATTGACAGGGGAGGCTCTGCCTCACCTGCCTCCCCTGACCACACGTCACTGCTGGGCGTATGGTCCAGAGAAAGTAATCCGTGGTAGTGGTGGTCAGGAGGAACTGGAGAGGTGTAGCGTGGATACTGGGAAAAGGCAAGATTCCAGAAACGACTGTGACTAGTAACACATAAAAAAAAACAATATAGAGACAGAGATCAAGGTGGTGCAGGTTGTTGGCCTGGAAGCAAACAATGAACTGGCAAGGGAAAGGTAAGTGAACTGGGCTTAAATAGGGTGATGGACTAAGTACATACAGCTGGTGTAATCACTGGAATATGTGACACGTGTGCAAAGTGGAGTGAATAGAGGCTGAAAAAACAAAAGAGGGAGGCGAGAGAGGGAAATGCCGCTGAGCAAACATGACACACCGTTTGTCTTGAAGCAAGGTGTTTGAGACATCTTGAATTCTACTGTGCTTTTGAACAGCTACATCTTTATCTTCAGAAGACATTCATTAGGAGGCAACTGTATGAAAACCCACACTGAATCCCACCACCTGGGTAAAGGTAGCTTTAAACAGGGTGGATGTCAAGTATGCAGCCCACAGTAATTGCTGTGACCATTCCCTTGCTGCATAGATGTGATGTGTAGGAGGTGAGGGCACACTATGGATTACCTTGGAGGAGGAAAGTTTACAGTAACTGTCATATGCTGCACACACCAAATCCACACAAATTCCTGTAAGGGTTTGCAACACTTGAGAAGATGCAGAAGGTGCAGAGGTCACCCCCAACCCAGAAGCAGAGAATAACCAGCATTAAGGCATAGCAATAAATTCAATTCCCTGGTCTACAGAGTATAGTGCATCATTATAAAAACATTTCTACTTAAGAGTTGCATCACAACAGATCACTCTCATACACTATCACCTCTTTTCCTTATGGGCTCAGTAGTGAATCCTGACCAAATGGATACTGCCACAGTGCTGCTGAAAACAGTTGCAGAGCATCGAGCCTTGTCACAAAGAGTTGGAGCTTTACTGTCAATGCAGTCTCTTGGGATTGTCTTAAAGGAATTTAAAGGTTTCATAACCAAGACAGGGCTGAGAACATGTGATGAAGTGCTCTCTTTTTATTGGCTGTCCCTTCATCATAGTCAGAAAGCAAGAAAGGAGGAGTAGTGAGGATGGATATGTTGTGTCCTGTTCAGCCTCCATTAGGAATATTGATTTCAGACCTGGATGGAATGAGGCCCTGGGAGAGTGTGGAACAAATTAGCCAGTCAGCAGTTGTAACAAGCCCCGTGAGGAGGCTTAGCCTTAAATCATTCTCATAAAAGGGAGAAATATGGAGTCATTTCCAAATACACACGAGTCTGTTTCTCTAATATGGCATTGTGCATCATTATCTTGCTTGCTTGCTGCCACATACTTTTAAAGAACTTTTTTTAGGACATGGCTTTCAAAATGCACCTTGTGAAAACAGGCCAGTGGAATTGTTATGTCTTAAGGTGACTGGTTGGAGGTCGCTGAGAAGAGAGGCAGCATTCACTCATGCTACTGTTGCACAAATCCTCAGCGAAGAATGTGACTATCTTGTGACTGAGTCACACAGCCAACTCCAGCCAGCACATCTCTATTATCAACTTTATGTAGGCCACTGAAACTTTGCAGACCAACTCAAGCCAACAGAATCACAGGCTCTTGTTATTATTTCCCTGTCTCCTCCCAGCCTCCCTGGGCTCATTTGTCATTATGGCCTGAATATTTCAGCCTGTTCCTTGTACTAATTCCAGCCAGGTAACCTTGCTCACTAAGTCACAGTGACTGTCGCAGCTAGATCCTGTCCTGCCCTTTCCACATGGCAGTTTATTATTGCACTCAAAGGTTTGAACTGCAAATCCTTATAAACCATACCTGTTTGGAACAGTGAGTATAAGGAAACACACTTTCTCTCCTCTTACACCTTTAATCTCTGACCATTATGATCGAGAGTTATGTAAGTGCCAAAAATCTGTCAAAACAAGTGCTCTTTTCTTTCCTCTTTTTTAACCAGTATTCCCAGATGTGTCCTTTATTGCACTTTTAGGACTGTCAAATTTGTTTACTTGGAGCAAGGTGTTCCCTTTGAGGAATCAAATTGTTTGTGTTTCTCCTCTGTCCCACCTTTGGCAAGAGCCTTAAAGGTGACAAGACTTGTCAGTGCTGGAGCTTTCATATGCTCCGGCTGTCAGTATATATCTGACATTTCCTTGTCACTTCAGGGGAAGCGAAGGAGGAAGTGACAACCAGGCCAAGCCGCTGCAGTCTCTCTCTTAGGAGTCCAGATATTTCAATAGTGGACTGGGAAGACCATTTTGTGGAACACTAAAATAGCAAGTGGCGCCTCAGAGAAAGCTCATCTGTCAACTGGATGCCGGGAATCAGGCTGTGACAATGAGGTGATAAAAAGGTGACAGAAGGCATCCCTGCCGATGTCAAACAACATCCTGGGACTGGCCATCTGTTGAAGCTGCTATAAATTTTAATAGTGTGGCTGATTTTTGAAGGGGCAGGTCAGTTTACTGTGTGATATAGGTGGGTCTACTGTCGTTTCCAAGTGAGTGTCTTGTAGCAGTGCTGGCTGGGTGTGTACTGAGAAAAAGACAAAACTTTTCTTTGATGATGCAAAGCTGAACCTTGGTATTTGAAGTTCTTTTTCTTCCAATTAAGTGGAAAGGCTCATAATCTAATGCATCAGGGAAAATGCTGTGTGTTGTTTTGTGTTCAATGAGTTGGTAGAGTGTGCTTTCAGCCCATTATCTATCATATCACATGAAAGTCAAGGCCATTTCATCAATTAATCTATGTGATGAGGAAGACCCAACAGTACCGCAAATGAGTTTATTTTCTCTGTGGCAGAACCACCAATGTGTGGATGAGATGGAATTATCTTAGCTCTGCCACAAACACAAGCCCCATTTCTCACTTAAAGAGAGGCAGGAAATTGCACCTGAATAGAACCAATCAGAATGTCCCCCTGAGTGTTGAGAGCCAAGCCTCACAATACAGAAAAAACCCAAAACTATTTTTAAAAAAAGCAGTACCACCACAGTATCGGTGCATTCATGTGAAAATGGAACTGGCTCAGTAGCAAGTACAATAACCCAAGTTTGATAGAAGAAATTATCAAGACCCAGTTTGTTTTTCATCCTCTACTGCAAGATATTATCCTGCCTTTATTTTTCCTAGATGAGAAATTAGACTTGGTTGTAATACAGCATTTTGTGGTTTAATGTTTTGTTCAGTGTCTGGGGCAGAAATTGTGGAGTGTTTCAAATCCCCACCCAGATAACTGAGGGGCTGTGTTTTAATTTGATCTGCATGTTTACTAAGCCTGATTGACAAAAATGTTTAGTGGACCACGAGCAGCCTTCAGTAAAGTTGCATCAAGCAAACATAGGCTGTTTCCAGGCTTTAGTTTGACAATTCCTCAGTTTTTGCATTGCTTCCGTTATTGGCATTGTAGTAGTTAGGGTCTGATACAAACTATATTCATTCAGGCAAATCATCCTAATTCCAATACTTATTTAATATTACAATAATACTGAACAATTCAATAAGTTTATGAGACAATTCAGCAATCTGGTTACAGAACAGCAGAACAGAATCACTGTCTCTGCCTGGAAATAAACAAAAGTATTAGATAAGAGAATTGTCAACCAGTCAGTCAGTCATTGTGGCCACAAGGTATAGTCAGTCAGAGTTCTGAGTCCAGAGTCGGTCCCCTCCCAGCCGGGTTCTGCCTGTTTGTCTGTCCTTTCGAAGGCGCACACTCTACTGCAGCATCATCCTTTTAACCCACAGCTATTCTAACTTTTTATCTTCTCCCTGTTACACCTCCTGTAGAATCCTCTCCTATTGCTTAAGCCTGAGTCAGCTTTACACTGCTTCTTCCAGAAACTTCTAGGTTGCAGTGCCCATTTCCTTTTCTGAACATAAACAGAGCACATGAACGGTTCATATAAGGCTGAAGTTATGGCCAACTTTAAGCTTCCCATGGCTCTGGATGTTTACCCATAAATTAAACAAGGAGGACAAGATGTTCTTGTTTGAGCAAGCTATCAGTGCATAGTTCCCATGGTCTCCATGCACAAACATCTCCAAACACTTCAGAGAAGAGAAACAGATCTCTCTAAGCTTATATAAACACTTAGCTCACCCTTACATGACTACTGCAAATTCTATTCTATTACTATTACTATTCTATTACATATTACCTCTGGTACCTTGTTTGTTTCTAACCACTATAGGATAATTATGGGTGCTAATCTAATACTGTTCGCATTTTATAGAGAAACCAACTCAAGCATACACTGGCATACATAAACAGTGTATATTATCCATAAAGGTTACAGATTCAAAGTGATTTTATTAAGTACAAGGCGATGAACGAAATGTGAAGAGGGCATGTTTTCCTGTGGTTCTACACAGACGTGGCTTTTTGCATGTTTGTCCTTGTGTGGGTTTCTTTAAACATGCATGTGTGTGTGTGGATGTTTACCATGCAAGCTTTGCACTTATGATGTACTATGTGTACTGCATGCAGGAGCATACAGCCTCTATAAAACATATACTGTATGTGTTGTTTGTGTGCTCAGTCTTTGCCTTGGTTTGTAGAGTATGTTCATACTTTTTCAAACTGGGCAGTGACTGAGTGCTGTGTTCTCCTCCCCTGGTCCCAGGTACTCATTCCAGGATGAGGAGGACATGTTCATGGTGGTGGACCTCCTGCTGGGAGGGGACCTGCGCTATCACCTGCAGCAAAATGTTCAGTTCAGTGAGGAAGCTGTCAAACTCTACCTCTGTGAGATGACACTGGCGCTGGACTACCTGCAGTGCCAGCACATCATCCATAGGTACAAATTTACCTTACTTTCCCTTTTCTTTTCAGTTCAAGGTGTCCAGTGCTTCTAAGACTTTTGTGTATATTTGTAAAGAAACACGCCAATCCCTAGTACAGTATATCCTTTCTTCACTGTCAACCACCTAGAAAGAAATGACCAGAGGTGGGAGTGAGTCACACATCTGCAGGTCACAAGCAGGTCTGAAGTATTAACCTTCAAGTCTCAATTAAATTCCAAGTTACTGTGGTGAAAATCAAGGAAGTCGAATTCAGTCCCTAAGTCAAGCAAGTCACAACTCAAGCCTTACAAAATTCTGATGACCTGATAATGCAATGGAAATATCATGTATTTAAGTGAAACGTTCACAAACCTCCTTTGATTATTAATTGTGCATTTGTAGGTTATAATATATCCCTTAGCTGTTAAACAAAAAAGGCATGGCTTTCATGGCTGTCAGATACTCTTCTCAATAAAATGTGTAATTGATTTGAAGCCAAGTCTAACAGCTTAAACTTAACCTTAGCTTTCTAGCTAATGTTTGAACAGCCAATAAGTTAGCTAACAAACACATACTTTTTGTGAGTTGCTGTAGTGGTTGTGTCACAGATTTTTGTGGTGGAGAGTTTGCATACTTACTACAGTCATCGACAACATAATCCTCATATCCAAATTTTATTATTTTTGGACAAGCCCCCTCCATAGCTGCATTCTGCATCGTGAGTTGTCCTCTCCTGGTCTGTCATGTTCTGGTAGGTTGCCTGTTTTGCAGTCAGTAGAAATCACCCAATTGTGTTTCAGTAACAAAACATTGCTTCTCAGTTTCTCAGTATCTACAAAAAAGTAATTCCAAGTCATCTGTCTCAAGTCTTATGTCTGTTTTCCACTGGGTACGCCTTTTGTGATGTAGTGTTTATCCTGTCTTCCCCAAAGCAAGAGCCAGTCTAAGTGGAACATGAAGCAGAGCATTTGTTTGTCTGACTTTTGTGACTTCCACATTTTGCCATTTTCCATGTATAGTTGTTATTAAAAAGGCATTAATCCTCATAATTATTTCATTTATACATTTTACATACAGCGCCTAGCAGAAAAACTCTTCCTTTTCTTCTTTTCCTTGTGTAGGTGTGACCAACCCGCCGGTTACACTTGCAACACAGCAGGAGAAGAAGCCGACATTGGGTGCATCCAATCAATTTACATAGCCTAGTGTTTTATTTTGTAGATTAACCAGATTCTCTATCATTCGCATCTGAATTCTTATTCGTCTCATCTGCTCTGTGCTGCTTGATGTGGCGTCCATCAAAAATAGACTCAAAACTTATTTTTAGTGAGGCCACATGCCAAACCAGTTCCGGGACGCTTCTAAATTGCGACAAGGCACTCCTGGTAGAAATAGCAGCATAGGGAAGCTCCGGCTTTTGTGAAGCTGCCATTCTGCGCCACAGATTGTACCGTTGGAAAATAGGGGTTAGTCAAGTCTCAAGGGATAAATATCAAGTCAAGTTGAGTTTTTCTCCAATGTTAGTCAAGCATGTATCAAGTTTTCAAATTTGCGACCTAAGTCTGTCTCAAGTCATACAACTGTAGACCTCCACCTCTGGAAATGAAAAAATGTTTACCTTTATTAAAAACAACAACAAGTTGAAAGGCAAAAAAGAACAAAAAACACTACATAGACCTGGGAAGTGTTACACAGCCAGGTGTTACTTCTTTGTTGCTTTGTTAAATAGAATCATTTGATCCATTGCTCATATCAAATATTGATTCTTCTTTTAATTTCGGCTGCTCCTGTTAGGGGTTGCCACAGCAAATCAACCGTTGCTACCCAGCTGATGATGCGCAAGCTAAACTTGGCATTATCAAATATTGATTAATCCTCTTTAATTTTATCTTAAAATTATATTCACTTTTATATTCACTTTTCAAATTGTGACATACTGATCTGTTTATATGAAACAGTCTTTGGAAGCCTTCATTTTCCTAGTTTTTTTTTATTTTTATTTTTTTTTTTGGTGTTCACATTTTACAGTACATTGAATAAAATGCTAAAATCATCAAATAGTGATGTCAGATGTGCTTTCCAAGTAACAGATCAGAGAGACAAAATACACATTAAACCCTCCAACACCCATTATTGTTACGGCTAGCCATCAGAGACAATGAGCGAGGACCCGGAAATATGCAGTACTCAACCTCAGGCTCAGAGAAAATAATTGTATTTTAAGTATTGCCCTGATGATTGAGAGCAGATGTGCCTGGCTGCGGAGTGTGCGCTCCAGCACATTTGGGGGCGGAGGTGTTAATGGTCCCCGTTGGTTGATGAGGTGCTGGGAGTGGACTGATCTGTAGACATAATTAAAATGTTTACAATATACACTTACACTGCTCTGCAAAAACACACAAAGCATTAGGTGTCAGCTCATTACATCATTATGTTTATTTATTCAAACTAAGCCTCAGTTTCAGTTCAAAGCATTGATTTTTTTTTTATTTAAAGAACTCTGAAGATCAGCTCAAGGTTGTATGTGTAACTTTAAGTATTAAACTGCTTTTTATGTCTTTTTTTCCTTCTGCAGCTTGTGGCAGTATTATTCATTTATGAATGTAATGATTCCTTGTCAGGCTGATACTCACCAAATAAACAGAATTAAATTAAGTAAATTTAAGTAAAAATTTGATCTCTTTTATTTACATCATGACAAATCATTACCTCCTCTGTATTCCTGAAGGAATACTGCAGTGAATTTTACCTCTTTGTTTGAGCATTTTTACTCTGTGTCAGAAACGGCGCGCGTAATGCGGCCGAAAAGTGTTGTGAACTCAATTAAATGGCCAGACGAGGAAGTGTTAAACAAAAACCGTCTCTTTATTAAGAGAACTAAAACTAAACAACAAAACCATACAAGACACGGTGGAAACAAAAACTCACGGTCAGTATCGGTCCCAGGTCAGAGCCAGCAAACACGTACATCCAAGGGAATCCAAAGTGCGTAGTCCGTAGGGAATGTCCGATAAGCCGATACACATAAGCAGTCCGAAATAAGAGGGCAAGGCAGAACAGGGTAATCAAAAAAACAGTCCGAGTCAGAAACACAAATACCAAAAACCGAATATAATGCTGGAAAGTCAGAGCTGGGGTCTAGAACAATCTGGCAGCGTCCTCCCATGAGGACGCTGCCTAAATAGAGATGTGAACAGGTGCACATAATAATGAAACAGGTGAAACTAATGTGAGTGATGAAGAATGTAAAGAAAAGACCAGAACTAAGGTGAAACAAAACAGGAAATAGTGTCAAAATAAAAGCCAGACGGGAAGCAGTGGAACCGAATCATGACACTCTGTGCATTTGTAGTATTATATGCAGGTCTTCAGACTGTAAACAGGACTCAAGTCTCTCAGGATAGATATATATTTTACACTCTCCTTCATGCTACTGTATTGACAGATCTTACCAGCTTTCACTTTGACCTTAACAGTTAGGGTCACATCCTGTCAGATGGCACTACATTATCTGTCCTGAGGAATGCATGGTGCCCTGGAGAGGATAGTACATTGTGTTAGTTGTGTTATTTAAACTACAAGATGTACCTTCTGTTTTCAAATTCAATTCAATTCAAATGTATGTGTATAGTGCCAAATCACAACAAAAGTCATCTCAGGACATTTTACAAAGTAAGGTCTAGGCCTTACTATTATCACTATTATTATAGAAGAAAACCAAACAAATCCCCCTTGAGCAAGCAATTCGCAACAAGGAGGAGGAAAAACTCCCTGTAACAGAAGAAACCTGACCCTGGCTCTTGGTGGGCGGCCTTCTGCCTTGACCGGTTGGGGTGAGTGGATAGAGGAGACAGAAAAGAAATGAAAGCAACAAGACACAACAAACACAACAGCAAACAATCAAGCACTGGGCAGGTTTGAAATGGCAGGTGACTGCTTATGAGAAATGTAGAGCTCCAGAGCTAGGGCTACCTGCAGAAAGGTACAGGGAGAGAGAGAGGACACATGACAGGAGAGAGGAGACACACAGTTAGTGACGCATAATGGTGGCATATAGATGCATGGAGAGAGAGGACAGGAGCAGAGGGGAGGAGAGGGGAAGGGAAAAATGCAGAGCATCATGGGGCAGCCTAGGCTGATAGCAGCTTTTATCCCTGGGCAATCCGAACTCTGAATGCTGCCAACTATGTGCAATAAATTGATATCAGTATTTTAATATATCTATTGTGAACTATTTATGGCTGTATGGTTGTGGATGTGGTCATGGTGGTTGGGAGAATGGACAGTTTATTTTTTTGTTTTTATATTTGCACTTGTCAGATGTGGCAAATCTAATTTCATTGTATTTACGTATAATGACAAAGTATTCATTCATTTATTCATAACTAAAGGAAGGCTCAGGGTCACCTGATCAAGCCCTAACTATAAGCTTTATCAAAAAGGAAAGTATAAAGTCTAATCTTAAAGGTAGAGAGGGCATCTGCCTCCCAAACTGAAACTGGGAGCTGGTTCCATAGGAGAGGATCTTGATAGCTAAAGGTCCTGCTTCCCACTCTATCTCCTTGGACTCTAGGAACAACAACTAGATCTGCACTCTGAGAGCTAAGTGCTCTGTTGGGATGATAAGGCACTATGAGGTCTTTAAGATATGATGGAGCCTTGTCATTAAGGGCTTTGTATGTTAGGAGAAGGATTTTAAAATCTATGCTGGATTTTACAGGGAGTCAGTCGAGAGAAATATGATCTCTCTTGCTAGTTCCTGTCAGTGCTCTGGTTTCAACATTTTGGATTAACTGGAGGCTTTTTAGGGAATTATTGGGACATCCAGATAGTAAAGAGTTACAGTAGCCCAGGCTGGAAGTAACAAATGCATGGACTAGTTTTTCAGCATTACTTTGAGACAGGATGCTCCTAATTTTTGCAATATTGTGCAGGTGAAAGAAGGGAGGTCTAGAGACTTGGTTTATGTGTGATTTAAAGACATATCCTGGTCAAAAATTACTCCAAGGTTCCT